TAATGAAACACGCAAGTTAGTCGCCGACTAGGCGGCCAACTCGGTTTCAACATTATATCAAAAAATAAAATATTCTTGGCAAAAAATACTACATTAAACAAATAATGTTTAAAGTTTAAACATAATAAACATGTTACATACTACTTAGTTTAATAATTAATAAGTTAGGATAACTAGATTTACAATAATAATTAAAAATTTAAAAGATTAATTGCTTATTAGACAAATGAGATATGCAAAAAGTTAAGAACTATTCACTTTGTCATTTAATACAGAGTGCTGCCAAACAAGCTGGTTTTCCTGCATATGGTTCACAAGCTGGTTGAGTTGATGTACACTATTAGACATTTTTTTGCTAGACACTATTAGACATTCTTATTAGCTCCTTAACCTTTTAACTTAATGATAGTAAGTGAATGACTAGCAGTAAAAGACATTCTTTTACTAATCTTTTTATACATATCTGAACTGTGCAAGTTGCTTGACATTACTCTATGTGAAGGTTGCTTGACATTGAATTGATATAGGAGTCCTTATTTGATTTAGACAAAGTTTAACTTTAATTCAGGTTAACTGAATGAAAAGAGCTTATTTTGAACAAAGATTGATCCAATACAGAGAAAGATTGCAGTCCTCTGTATAAAGATTGATCCTAGAAAATAAGTTAATAAGCCGTTATCTCCATAAAAAAAGTCGTTATTTCCATAATGCAGAAAAATCCTATAAACAAATACAACCTAAATGCAGTTCATACATGCCATGCCATCAAGAAATAAAAGTGATAATTACTAAATAATTTATCAATTAATTAGTTACCACATACCTTGATTTTAAATCCTGCCTTGGCACTGGTTTCTTTAAACAAGACACCACACTCTTGAGCCTTGTGATCTCCTTCTATCGAAACTTGCCTGTTAAATTGCAGTATCATCAAGAGGGGGAGGGGGGGATTAAAGAAATACAGTAATGATATGAAAAGCAACTAGGATTACAAACCACAATATCTTTCATTTCCGGTTCATTTGTAAGATACTTCTTCTCATTGATATAGTTTTTTGACATTCTTCCATATGCAGCTTAAGTTTTAAAATATAGTATATGACTATATGCAAATGCAAATGATTGAATGCGGAGTTCTACAAACCAATTGCATTAATGATTCAAAATCTCAAGTGCAAGTTAGATTTGCCACATGAAATATAAAATATGTATTTATTGCAGGTGAAGATTACTTCTCACATGGACACCATATTCAGCCTTTATCAGTGAGTTTTGTTCTTTAGTTCAAGAGATTAACATTTCTCCCTAAACTATTCATGCTTAGCATGATCTAAAACTGCACAAGATTATTACGATTTACGAGTGTGGATTATTATATTGTTCTTCAGTTGCATAAAAATGTGTCAACACTGCTGTTTGCGGCATGAAGAACTCCTCACGAAATTAATTAAGGAGGAAACACACAGTAAGAATAGGAAAGAAACTAAACAACTAGAAATTTGAGGTGCAACCTGAAACATGGACATGGTAAAAGAGTTAGAAAAACATCTTAGAGTATTTTCAAATAATTTACCTGGACTGCTGGAACACATCTTAAAGGTGATTAGTAATTATCGAATAAGGTAAATTTACTCAAATTAAGATACCTTTGGTTTCCTGGAATAATACTAACATAAATGATAAAATAAGTATTACTTATTATATTACAAAGCTTTTTTGTAGCAGAAAACTAGGAATAAGACAACTGTATAAGAAATCACATTTCAAAAGTTGCTACCTTTTAGTTTTAGTAGGTATAAATATAATTGAAAATAATCAATGGGAGTTCTATATTTAAATTTATTTGTTGGATTAACTTAATTTACCATACTTTAATAACTGGTTGTTGCCATTATTGGAATGCTATTCTAACCCATCTGAAATACTACCACAATCACACTTCTATTGCAAGTATACTCTGTATCTTCTTCTTGAACTGAGATAAGGATTTCAATCATTTTACTATCTTCTATTCATAAACATAATCATAGTTTAAAGTTTAAACATTTTTCATGAGTTCATGGTCAAGCAAAGGCAACTGCACAAATCTTCAACTCTTTGGAAGAAACACAGTAAGTCTACAAATTTGAAAAGCTTCCAGCTTTCAATAATCCATCCAGGACTTTTACCAAACACTAAACATGCACAATTTCATTGAAATACTAAGACTGTGTATTTGTGTGGTTCCCCAAGAATTTATACGTAAGCTTAAATGTTTAATCATTTACTATCAATTGCTAACAATATAACACATACAAAAACACCTTTCAGACTGTAAATCAAACATCCAAAAGTTTCAATGTTTAGAAAAAAACTGAGAAGCGATAAAGATATATTCCTGTGACAGGTTTGAGAAGAAGGGTACCTACGCTAGAAACCGAAAGAGAAGCAGTGACGGTCTTGAGAAGATTCAGATGAACGGCGGCGCTAAAAGGAAAAAGAGAAGCTGGTGTATAACTTCTGAAGTTGAAGTGGCAAATGATTTTTTTTTACCTAGGATCGTAAAATAACCCGCTGCGCCGACTAGCCTATTTCGCCGATTTGGACGATTTGGCAGCGTAGGCGGTCTGGCGGCCTATTAGTCGGAACTCCGATTAACAAGCCCGCCTATGTGCTCTTCGCCTCAGTATGCCAGTCCCACAAGGAAGGCTGAAATTTCTTCCCTCGCCGCAAGTCCCGCAAGGAAGGCTGAAATTTCTTCCCTCGCTGCAAGTCCCGCACTTAGCTCGATTGTTCTTCGCTCAGTTAGGGTTCGTCGCTCAGTATTTCTCACTTAGGCTGAAATTTCTAATTAGGAATGTAAGGGTTTGTAGGAGTAGTGCGGGCGTATGTAGGTGAATGTGTTTTTTTAGAAAAGTGCTTGACTATTAGAAAAGAAAAAAGCTAAGGGCTGGCCAATTAAGTGTCTGATGAGGAGGAGCGCGCGTTTACTATGTAAAAAAAGTGTCACTAATCAATACTCATATTTTTTTGGGGAAAACAGTGACACTTTGATGTTAGTAATGTTGTTTTATCAGAAAGTGTCACTAAAATAGTGTCACTGTAGGGCATTTTTCTAGTAGTGTCAGAGACTAAGAGTGCGTTTTTCTCATGCACACAAATTTGTTGGGACCTTTTTAATCATCAATTGTCAAGTGTAATTTAAAAAACCGTTCGGTATAAATAAAGGAGAAAAGGGGCAAATAAGGCCATGTACTAACAAAAAGAAGTCAAATAAGGCCTTATTTAGGAGGCACTGTCCGGCCGTCGCCATCTGGGGTGGTTCCTAGTGGAATTTTTTGATGAAATTTTTTGAGAATCTTATTCATTAAGTCTAGTTTACTGATGTCAAATTTCAGCTAAAACTTCAATCGGGAAGACATTCAAATGAATTCTTGAAGATAACTGCGCAGTTAAAAGTGCAGTTATCTTCAAGAATTCATTTGAATGCCTTCCCAATTGAATTATTAGCTGAATTTTGGTATGATTAAACTAGACTTAATGAATAAGATTCTCAAAAAATTTCATCAAAAAATTCCACCAGAAACCACTCCAAATGACGACGGCCGGACAGAGCCTCATAAATAAGACCTTATTTGACCTTTTTTGGTTAGTACATGACCTTATTTGCCCCTTTTCCCTAAATAAAGGAATGTAGATGGTAATATCAATGTTAGACCAACTCTATTTTTGGTCGAAAATGAAGTTTACATCACCCATTTTTTATTTGTTAGTATCAATCATTAATTTGTAATTATATTCATTCATCTTTCCTCTAGAAATTTCAACTCCAAAGTTTTTCACTTTTTATCATTTCTCATCTAATTCAGAGCCTATTTGGAAGTATAAAAATTGATTGAATCGGCTGATCCTGCAACAATTTAAGAAATTCTAGTTGAAGTTGCTGTATTGGTTGATTTTGGTGATTTATGAAAAAGTTATATTTAAAATATATTTTATTAATAAAATAAAGAAAAAATTATATGTAAAAATAGTTAAAATGGTCATCTACTATTATTTCGGCCAATACAGTCGGAAAAGTAGTTCCAACATTACTTTTTCTCATTATTAAACCTGATAAACCAAGAAACAGGATTACCCAATGGGCTCTCAATGTTGTCAAATGGGATGAATACAATTTTGGAGATATGTAGAAAATGCTTGTGAGAGTTTAGGAATGTAGAAATAAGAGGCAGTTTGGAGCACCCAATATGGGCTGATCAGCCTGAAAGTATAAAAAAATCACCAAACAGTTGCTGATTTGGCTGTTTGGGCTGTTTGGGTTGATTTTTATTATCAGTTGAAAAAGCAACACTTTACTTACGTTTTGAACTGTTTTTTTTTATTATTGTACTGTTTCTAAATGAAAAGACCAATTTGCACTTCTATTATACGTATGTAGTACGTGAAAAACCTCGTCGAAAGTTGCTTGGGTGGTCCAGATCAAAAGCTCCATGATCATCTAGTTCTAAATACTTTATGGTTTTGGATTTAAGTAAAATATTAGCAAACTACTCCACTAAATATTTATGTGAATTTTTATTTCGTTTTTCATTTTGATTTAAGTGCATGTGCCTGAGCTTTTTAATATCCTGTATATATTATTGAAAGTGTATTTTTTGTATTGAACAATACAAATTCAACAGAAGATTTTTTTTTTGACAAAATCCAATAGAAGAATAAAAAATCCAATGTCTTCGGTTAATTAAGCTGACTAATAATTACCTAATCAAACAGAATTAATTTACTACCAAAGTTCATACCCATATATTTAACACAAACAAGTTAATACCTTTTGTAGTAATTTTACCCTCAATCAGCTTTTTCAGCCAACATATTAACAAACACTTTCGCTTAAACACATTAAGTCTTTTCAGCCTATAAAGCCTATTCACGCATTGCATCCATTACCAAACAGGCCCTAAATCTTGTAAGATCAGAATGAGTTTGCCAAAATAGAAACCCCTAATAAATGAAAAATGAGGCGAGTAGAGAAACCATGTTCCATCCATATCTGCTACCTCCATCATGTTAGTCCGACAATCCGCCCCAAAATAGCTCAAGTGCTCCAAGTATTGGGTTAAATACCGCTTTTACCCCTGCACCCTTTTTAAAAAAGTGTTCTTTTCCTCTTTATCTGTTGAAGCTTGGAGTGTCTCAGCAAATTGCAACAGCTCTCAAGCATTTGCATTTGATGGCTTTCTGGTCAATGTGACGGACCTTGACGCTTTCCTCTCTCTCTATCTCTCTTTGGGTTTCTTTACGTTACTTCCTGTCGTTCACTCGCTGTGTTCATTTCATCTTTCACATTATTTCCTGCTGTGCTTCAGACCATCTTACACTCTAAAGGTATGTCTACCCACCACCCCTCTTTCAGGCTATTTCCATTTTTAAACCTCATATGTGATTAATCTTGAGGTTTTTTAGATTTTTATACCTTAAAAGTTCAGATCTTGAATACTTCTATCAGTTCATATTCCTGTTTTAGTGAATTGTCAAAAAAAAGTTGTAATATTTTATTTTTCTGAGTGAAAGATAAATCTGGGTTTTCATTTTCTTTGGTGGTTTAAACTCATTGTTGAACTTTTAAGCTTTTTAAAGTGCATTTTGTAAGTTCAGTTGCAGGAAATTATAAAAGGCAGGCCACCCAAGAATCTTCTCCTTAAAGATTTTTTCCTTCATGTTTTCTTACTTTTCCCCTTCCTTTCTGTGTTATCTTCCTATTCCTCCTCTTCTCCATCTCAAACCCCCCCCTTTGTAAAAGGGTTGTGCATCACTAAGGAATATTTTTTGAAGAAAGTAAAAGGAAACAACTTTATCGGCCTCTGTTCCATCACTCAATGGCAGTTTGTTGCGGGAAGCATGTGCTAACCATGGGTACATGGACAATCCTTAATATCTGTGTTCTGGATGAAACATTAACTATTTTTTATTATCAAAATTGAGTTATCTATACTTTTTAGGGTTAATACGCTATTAGCTGTTTTCTAAAAAAGATTATGTAAGCAGGTTGAGAGACTAACTAAACTCAAGTTCCCACATGGTGTCCCCATCAACATTGGGTGAAGGGCATTGTAATGCTTCTTCTGTAATGGCTTCTCCTTCAGCAATTTTGAAGGGTAAGGACAGGTTGAACCTTAAAGCTACAGAATTGAGGCTTGGTCTTCCTGGATCTCAATCCCCTGACCGAGATGAAGAAGTTAATAATAATGATCTAAAACATGGAAAATTCAATGAAAAGCCTTTGTTCCCATTGCTTCCTTCAAATGAAGGAATCTGCTCATCTCTCAAGGCTTCTGGGAACAAAAGAGGGTTCTTAGAAACAAAGGTCGCTTTAGTGACTCAGGCTAATAATTGGATGCTTACCACTCCCAAATCTGATTCTCAGGCTAATATGAAGGACAAGCACGTGCAAGCTAAGTATGGTCTTGAGAGCCAAACGTTTTTCTTTAAATACTCTATATATAATCCATCTTGTGAGCCTGTGAGATGAAACGAAACGTTGACTGTGGATTTGTTGTAGATATTAACATGAGATTGTATTGTAGGGAGCAAGTTGTTGGGTGGCCGCCTATTAGATCGTTTAGAAAGAACACACTGACTTCAAGTGCTAAGGTGAATGATGAAGTTGTTGGAAAGCCCGGCCCCATGGCTATTTTTGTTAAAGTCAGCATGGATGGAGCTCCGTATCTTAGAAAGGTGGATCTTAGAACTTACACCTCATATCAAGAACTATCTGCTGGGCTTGAGAAGATGTTCAGCTGTTTTACCATAGGTGTGCCAAGTCCTGCATTCCTCATATCTGTTATTTGAACTCACTCTTTCTGTTTTTTGTTCACTTCTGTTTTTTGTCCTTTTTTGTTATAAGAAGAACAATGTGAAAGCCCCCAAGGAGGTCAAGGCAGAGAACATTTGAGTGAGAGTATGTTAAGAGATTGCCTTCATGGATCAGAGTATGTGGTTACGTATGAGGATAAGGATGGAGATTGGATGCTTGTGGGAGATGTCCCATGGGAGTAAGCTCCCCCCCTCTCGGTTCACTTACCATGTATTTATTTGGTTATAGGTGATACATGAATGAACATTGGGAAAACCTTGATTCATGTCAAAACAGAAATGGGAGATTTGAGGGGATGAAGGAAAAAAATTGTTTTAGTTAATTTATTTATGTGATGGTGAATAGGTGATGCCTTAAAGATGTGATTTAATCTAGTACTATGTGTTTTTGTAATCCAAGGTTTCACTCCATTGAAATTTTTACTAAGATTGAATAACAAAAGTAGTAATAATAACAGAATATGACTTTCTTTAATGTTTTGGATTCATTGGTTCAGATTTGAACAAAGTTTTGAATATGCTAATGTTTCCATCATCTTCCTAATCTAAAAAGTTCATTTACCACAGTATGTTCATAGAGTCATGCAAGCGGTTGAAGATCATGAGGGGCTCTGATGCAATTGGATTAGGTTTGTTTGGTTTGTTAAATCAATCAATGTTCATGAAACGTATTCTATGTGACATTATGATAGAAAAGTTTCAAGAATATATATAAACAGATTCATCTTGTTCTCCTATGCAGCTCCAAGGGCTATGGAGAAATCCAAGAGCTGCAGGAACTAGCAGACAGCTTCTCAAGTAGCATTTTGCTGCATCCTATCCACTCTTCAGCAATCTGCCTGCCAAAATGGACATATCTCTCTCTGTTTATTTATTTGTTCCAATGCCTCATTATTTTGTTCTAGTATGGCTGAGATGATGTTTTTCATCCTAATTAATATTTGTATTGGATGTGATATGAACAGTGAATTGTGATAAATCAACTAAGAGACTTGTAGCAATGTAATTTGATCTATTGTTTACGTTTTGTTCAAATATAATCGAATCATATCTTCATTTGATAGGGGAGCAGGACCCTCCCTATATACGTGTTATATAGGAACCTCCGTTTGATAAGTTCAACTTTACTTATTTTTATTAATATATAGTCCGGCTGATGAGATCTCTAAGTTTAAGCTATACAATATTGGGTTACCATTGAATCAATTGTTCAATTGTCCAGAGTGTTTGGAGATTGGAGAAAGAACTAATCTCATAGAATCCTAATAGAAAAAAGAATCAGATATGCCCTTGTACTTACATAAAAGGTCAAATAATCCTTTGAGCATATACGAGGCTCTGTCCAGCCGTCGTCATTTGGGGCGATTCCTGGTGAAATTTTTTGATGAAATTTTTTGAGCATCTTATTGATTAAGTCTAGTTTACTCATATCAAATTTTAGTTAAAACTTCAATCGGGAAAGCATTCAAATGAATTCTTGAAGATAACTGCGTATAAAATATGTGGCCCCTCAGTGTAATTGGCTATTTGGCCATAACTAATTATACTTTAGTATAAAATATATAAGTGGCACCTCAGTGTAATTGTGTAAAAACATGTGTGCCCCCAACTCTTATCTCTATCGAAAAAACTCCAGGTAGCCGGCTGTGGACATGTAAAATTTATTGGGCCTCTTTTGAATTTATTGGGCCAACGTCAGATTCTATTGGACTGCTTGTAATGGTTGTCGGGCCTGATAAAAAAAGAGGAAAATATTAATATGGGCCCATTCGAATATAATTTAGTGATTAAATTAATTTGGATCGCTCAAATGTCCAATTAATTTAATTATAAATTAAATCCTTAAAAGAATGGACTGATCCTATTAATTTCTTGAATTTGAGTCCATTATTAAATAGTGGCCCAATACATAAGAGACATGATCCAATTGATCCAATTTCTTAACCAGACATGAATCTGGTTAAGAAATATGTCTATATGCATGGAAAATGGCTGCGAACCTTGTTAAAAAAGCTATCTAGATACATCAGACAAATGCTGATTTTTGTAGCTATTAAAATGCAAACAAATAGAGCCCATATCCTATTTTTATTGAGGCCCATGAGGTATGGACGAATTTTGGAACCCTAAAGCATATTTCATCCCCCTCCACACCTATAAATAGGGGTCTCAGATGAGAGGAATGGGGGAGAACTTCCCGACGAAAAAACGCTGCAGCAAAGCTCTGAAGAACTCCCGAAAGGCTCTGAACGATTCCAAAGAAGAGGAAGAGATTAAGCCACGAATTTTCTCAAGAATATATGAATAATCCTTCGTGATTTCATCGATTCTTGATAAAATAAACCCAAAAGTTGAACAACGTTTGAAGATCTAAAGAACGAAGCTCGAAGATTCGAAGATCTCAAGAACAATGCTTTGAAGATTCGAAGATCCGAAGAACGAATCTTTGAAGATTTGAATATATTCATATGAAGTTTGAATCAAGATTCAACTGAAGATCAAGCCACATATCCCGGGAGGCCCTTAAACAGAAGATCAAGCCATAAAACGGTCCTTTTGTTGAAGATCAACCCATTTGAAAACCGGAGGCCCTTCAAGTTGAATTCTTTATTCAAGAAGATTTAAAGATTCGAAGAACGAAGGTTCGAAGATTCGAAGATCTCAACAACAAAGATTTGAAGAATCGAAGAACGTTTGAATTTTTGAAGAATTAGAGATTTAATTTTAAATTAAATTCTTTAATTATATTCATATCAAATTGCAAGTGAAGAATCAGATGATTCATATTTAGAGATTGTACCCGATATTTTCACATATTATTATTTGCAATCAATTTTAAGTAAATACTTAAAATTTGTTTCACACTGGCTGTCTTAACTAATAAATTAAAGAATCTTTTTTTTTTTCACTTCTCTTAATTATTCTAATTTTCACTGATCTTTCCTCATCTTTAGTATTTTGCTTTCACGTGTATGAATTTTTCTTTCATTTTAAATTTAGGTAATGGTTGATTATAGTTTCTAAATTTTAATCTGTACTCCCTTTACAACTATTTTTTTTTGTCTTTTTGAATTGTTCCAAATAACAACCCGACTGGTTCTAAGGGCTCTAGGAAATGGAATGTCATCCATTTTTACAATTTCTAAAAAATATAGATTGATTATCTACATTAAATACAAAAACTTGCAAATGTAGGTTAATCTAATACTTTGTATTATGTAATTATGATAAATATGGAACTGCTACCTGTTTTGAATTTGATATATATTTGAATAACATTTGTACTAAATCTTTTAGATAACGTGTCCAATAACATTTTTTCCCAAATCTACCACCGGTAATTACATAATTTATGTATTACGATTGAAGGAGATATTGTTATTATTTATGTATAAAAAGAGGCGATACATGCAATGAGTTGTTATACTACTTCCGTCTCATTTGAAATTGTCAATTTTATATTAGATGTGAAATAAGAAAAGTAAAAATTGCGCAGAGGAGAGAAAAAAAAGTAAACTCACAAATGTGCAAAATTTTCACTTTAAAAGGAAGGGGAAATAGTTTGAGAAATGCTAGAGGTACCCCATTTTGTACCCCATTCTATGTGTTGGGCCTGCCGCGGGTCTGCGGTCAGCAATCTGCCAGCCTGCCGGTGCAATCGAACCGCGTGGCGCTTTGCCTGTTCTATAAAAGGGGAAGGGCGTGCTACACTATCAGCGATTGCTTTTAGTGTAGCGATAAGCGCAACGATCCACAATTGGTATCAGAGCCAAAGGTCACGGGTTCGACCCCCGGCAACAGCATGCTGCTCAGTTGTAGGCTGGCAGGTGCTGGGGGGGAGATTGTTGGGCCTGCCGCGGGTCTGCGGTCAGCAATCTGCCAGCCTGCCGGTGCAATCGAACCGCGTGGCGCTTTGCCTGTTCTATAAAAGGGGAAGGGCGTGCTACACTATCAGCGATTGCTTTTAGTGTAGCGGTAAGCGCAACGATCCACACTATGTTTGTGGCTCACAAAAATCCAACCCAATTAAAATAATTGCTCCATTTTAATTCATTGCTTTTGTGAACCACTAACATAGAAGGGGGTACAAAATGGGGTACAAAATGGGGTAGCTTTAGCATTAGTGAAATAGTTTTAATATTTTAAACTTTGAAGGGATGTGACATACGTACCCAAAATTTGCACATGTAATATATATACCCCAAACTTTACATAAAAAGTTATATTAGCACCATGATCATATATTTTTGGGGTAATTTGCTCCATTTTATAATTCAAATTGGACTTTGCACCCCATTTTTAAAAATCTTTGTTTTTGCACCCCAACTGCATATGAAAAGACAAAGATGCCCTCGATCAGGAATATGTTGAAGCCTAACATAATTGTTAATGGATGGCATTTTTATCTTTTCATATGGCATTGGGGTGCAAAAACAAAGATTTAAAAAAAAAAGGTGCAAAGTTCAATTTGAATGATAAAATATTTGGGGTGCAAACTCAAATTACCCCTATATTTTTCACAAATATAAATTAATGGTGTTCAGTACATAATTTAAAATTCCCAAAACATTTATGAATATGAAATTTAAATTAAATTGTACCGGATGTAATATTATTTATTCAACAAATGAAATTTTAGAATGTTCATTGCATTCTAACAAGGCTTAGAGTATTTTAAATTATATAATTATTCTAATGAATTTGTATTTGTAAGAAATATACAATCAGGGTGCGAATATAACTTTTTATATAAAGTTCGGGATATATATTACATATGCAAGTTTGGGATACTTACCTCACACCACATTAAAATTTGGGATATTTAAATTGTTTTCCCCTTAAAAGGAAGGTGACAAAGTTTTTGGGACGATTGAGAAACGGAAGTTGGAGAAGTCGAGCGATGGAACAAAAGGAGGCCATGTGACGAAGTTTTTGGGACGAATGAGAAACAGAAGTTGGAGAACTCCTCGGAGTAGTTTTTCATTTGAATCCTCATAATACATTTTATGAACTTTTATTGTACCGGTGGGCATAACTCAACTGGTAGCGAGGGAGTGCCACAAGGGTTAGGTCCCGGGTTCGAATCCCGGCAACTGCGGTGAGAGGTTACTATGCTAAAAATGCATAGGGCCTCTGCAAATATCGGGGACGGAGCCCACCTCTCTATCTGTCAGATTGTGATTATAGTTCAATTTACATCCTCCCATCGTGCCGTCCGGTCGGTGTTGGGGGCCCTCAGGGATGGGGTGTCATTCTTTTTTTTTTTATAAACTTTTATTGTGTTTTAATTGTGACCATCTTTTAAGGCATTCAATAGGTTCAATTAAATAAAATCCTAAAATTTTAGAGGCTCCTAAATTTCAGCGTATTCAATTTTTTGGATAAATGGTAAGTATGTACTCCATGTTTCTTAAAAGTTGCAACATTGTAATTTTTAAACGATTCACACACCTTACTTTGATCACGATTTTCTACTAATATATACAATCAAATTATTGTTTATAAAATGTTACTAAATTTATATTAATGTGAATTTCTAAAATATTAACTTTTTATAATGTTTACTAATATGTAATTAAATATAATTACGGTCAAAGTTGTGTGTTGGCAAACGTGAAAGTCAAACTGTTGCAACTATTAAAGAATGGAGGATAGTATATCCAAAGAGTTCATGTACCAAAAATAGGGATAAAAAAACAAAAGGACTATCCCAAGAAAGGATAACCCATCACTTCAAAAACTATACAGGATAGATGAGTTAAATCGTGGCCAAACACACAAAAAGTAGGTGGTGGGCCGAAAATCTAACATTCAAAAGGTAATCAGTTCTTTCTTGGGGTCAGGGTAGATGTTGTAAAGGATCTTATACACCGTGTATTTGATCCTAGCTAGCACATCCTCATCTTTGGGAGTAGTTCCATCGAACCTTGTTGCGTTTCTCACTCTCCAAATTAAAGCTAGTAGACCAAGTATAGGATTGCAATGCATACGTGCTGCCTTAACTTGAATTCCAGCCCCTCCATGATCTTTCTTGATCCACTTCACCAAGCTTGCTAGAGTAGACATCTGTCTAGGCATGCCAATCCAGTCCGTCACTTTACTCCAAATATTTCCTG